CCCCCCCCCCCCCCCCGACCTTTGCAAGATCTGGGAACAGACAGGCTGTCCCTTCCCTCCCAAAAACAGAGAGGGGCTTGTGTGGATGTGTTTGTGGGCTTTTCTTTTAAAAATTTGCTTGCAGTGCAGTGATGCTTCAAAAAAGTGATTTAGGTGAAAACTATTGAGGCCAGCGTCCCATCATTTCAAAATCCCATTTTTTGACATGGTAAATGCACTTTTTACTTTCGTCAGGCCTGGAGAATGAGCACAACTGACAGGCTTGTCTGTATGGGGAAACTAACTGGAATAGCTGTTGGATATTTAGCTATTTAGGAAGAATTTCTTTGCCTGGACGTCTTATTTCAGCGTAATTTGTACACTTCCATGTAAAGAAGCACTTTTATTTCAGGATAGAGCCCAAACAGGAAGCTCTTCTGCAATAGCTATTTTGGAGTAGTGTATTTCACACTAATTATTCTGGTCAACTTTCCGGTGTAGACAAGGGCTCAGGGGAATCTGTAGCCTGTTCCTCCATAATGGAATTGCTTGTTAAGTTTTGGTTACTGGGCCCAACAATCACAGCTGCGCAAATTCCTCAAGACAATGTAGACAGGTGTTACTGACAGCGTAATTTGATGGGCGGTACCTTTGTTAGTGGTAATTACATGCAAGAGCGAAACAGTGAATCCTTGGAAACTCTGTCTGGGATTTCAGAGCAGCCTTGATAGTGTTTCTGTCTTGAAGAAAAATGATGTTCTGACACACTGTGAAACCTGTGGTACCCCAGGGTGTTCCCTACAGTTGGCAAACCATTAAAAGACCAGGGAAATTCTGATGTTGCCCTCACTGCTTTGTTGAGTCAGTGTTATAATGTATTTGCGTTGTTGTACAATCCCAAGATGTTTCAAATGGGTTCTGGACCATTTTAATCCAATACTTTCTATTTACAACTAACAGCTACAAATTGTTAAAATGTGGGTTGCCCAGCACAGATCCAAAAAATTAAGGTTTTAGCACCAAGGGAAAATAGGTGAGCACAGCTTTCGTCAAATGCCATTATAGGTTTCTTCAAGTAACTGTCCATAGGTGTTGCATGATCAGTGCTGGAGCTTGGAATCAGTAGCCCTGGCCCACACCAGTACCTTAACTCTCATAACCCTCCTTTCTCCCACTCCACTGTTAAAAGATAGAATAGGGACAGCTGTTTCAGACAAACTAGTTTGGGTAGGGACAATTCTGATAATTTTTTCTTTTTTTTTCATAACGTATAGGTTTTAACATAAATGTTGAAAGGAGACTTGTTTGTTCATTACATTACACGAGGCAAACCTATTGCCATGTTGCCCTATATTGTATCTGGGTGCACAGCATGATACCAGTGGCTTATGTCTTCTTTATCTACCAGTCCGAAGTAACACGAGGGTTAGGAAAGTGAAAAGAAGAGGGAAGAATGGACATTGTATATATGTGAATATATATGAAAGCTACAGCCACACAGTGGAATGAACATTACAGCGTCTCAGTATTTTAAGACAGTCACGTAGCTCTCTTCCCATTTTCAGAGCAGTGGAAAGAGTTCAGTGCTGGAAAGTCTTGTGGGAAGGGATCTGCTCCCAAGAGGTACTGGGATTATCACCCGGAGACCCCTTATCCTGCAGCTGGTGCACGTTTCTCTAGATGACAGTCGGAAAACAACCGGAGATGAAAATGGTAAGTGTAATCTAACTGGGATTTTAAGCTTCATGCATTTACCTAATTATCTCTCTTTTTGAGGATAATATTTCTGTTTTTTTTTTTCTTGTGTAGTCTCAAGCAAGGTGAAAATACACTATTCTTACCCCTAAACTGTAGATGCACTCTGGTATCTTATTTATTTATGCATACTTTCATATTACTGGAAAAATATTGTAGCTTCTGATACAGCCTATTTTATCCATACAACAGAATAGCTTAAATCCAGCTTTGCTATATTGCACTTTCAGTACAGTTCCTATTTTAAGTCATCTTCTGTCTCTTTTTGAGCACTTCTGAAAAGATCGTGCCAAAGAACTTACGACAGTATGTGGCTGGTGGTGAATGCTGAGAGCAATGGTCTCAAGTTGTAGTCGGGGAAGTTTAGATTAGATATTAAGAAGAATTTTCTTACTAAGAGGGTAGTAAAACACTGGACAGGTCACCCAGAGAAGTGGGGAAGCTGCATCCTTGGATGTTTTCAAAACCCAGGTAGACAAAGCTTTGGCTGGGATGATCTAGTTGTGGGGATGGTCCTGCTTTGAGCAGGGAGTTGGACTAGATGACCTCCTGAGGTCCCTTCCAACCCTAACTTCCTATGATTCCAATGTCTAGGATCTGCAGGACAGTTTTGCTGCATCTTTAATGTCCTGCTGAGCAATAAAATCTCCCCTCACATGATGAAAGCATAATTTTTATGGAAAAGGGTTTAAAATACACAGGAAAAATAGTGTAAGGGGTATGGACCTTGTGTAGATGCAAAGATATTGGAACCTCTGGATTATGGGTATCATATTACTGAGAAATTTTAAACCACATAAAGTAGGGTGAGGCTTTAGTTTCTTGTAGTGCCTCCTTATCTCTTGCTGATCAAGAATGTTACCTCATTTGTCCTTTGGGGAGTTGGCACAGTTTCATTTTATATTAAATAACACTCTTAATCTTAAGGAAGTGAGAAACCACTGGGCATACTAGTCTGTCTTTGCTTACAATGTAATATTTCTAAAATCTTGCTTGTCTGGATTTTTTTTTGGGG